TGTATGGTAACAGTAATTTACCTGCTAAATTTTAGCCCTTTTGGACAATGTTTAGAGGTCCCCCAAGGGGTCGAAAGTTTCCGATTTTGGTGTTTGATCGTTCGCTACCAACTTTTGATACAGTGTTATATAATATGATTATAAATGTTTTATGATTTGTTTATACAAATGAAACAAAATATATAATTGTGAAAAAATATATAAATCTGCAATGCCTTTTATTTTTTAATTTCAAAAATTAGGTCAAAAATGATTGAAAAACAAGATTTTATTGAATTTCGGTTCGCTTGAATATTAATTAATGCAAATAATTCAAATTTTTGCTAGCAGTTCACGATTATATTCTGCAAAGTTTTTCCTATGCTGTTCAACTACTTGAAGCAAAAATTGTTTCTGCTCTGCGTCTTTGGTGATTGTTTCATTGAAATGTTGTACCAACGCTACTCCCCGTTCTGCAGAGTCATTGATGCAAACCAGAATCTTTACAAACACTGCTGCAACTTAAAAAGAAGGAGTATCTGACCAGTTTTCAACAAGTACATCAAGAAAACCGGCATCACTATTAGATGTTTCAAAAAATGTTTTAGACGCACGCAAATTGTCAAAACTTTGTGGTAGTGTTTTCATCAGATGTGGGCCTCGATCTGCTTGTATTGTGCGGACAAGATCAGTCTTTTCTTTGTCATACAGAAGAGATGAAAAAAGAACAAGAGTTGCCAATTCTGGACTCATGTACCAAAAATGACGCAGCATCATTTTTAATCGTCGAACCAAGAACTGTATCGTCATAGTCATGCAAACGCTGTATCAACAAAATATCATTCACAGGTGCATCAGCAGTGAGCCTGCATGAAAACCATGACCGAAGTTAAACACAAATGATAAACCGATTCAAACGTTGAATACCTTGTAATTCTCGAGCTGTTTAAGTTAAAAATGGTTTTATTTACGGTGAATAATAGTTCAATTTTTAATGCATAGATGGCTTTTGCCATCCATCGTGCTCTGTGCCGTGCACCAGGTTTGCGAATGGCTACATCAACCTGCAGTTCAGCTATTTGTGCAGCAAGAAGTGGAAACTCTAAATAGTCATCTCGAGAATGTCTGACCTCAAGTTGACATTTGATGAATGCTTTAATTGCATCTGAAACAATTATCAAAGGGGTTGATCTGGCTTCTGGTGTGTGATTCATTTCTGTCCATTTTTCACGAAACCTTTTAAAGAATAAAATTTCTGGTCCAGCGGATGTTCCAAGACAAACACTATATACACCGGTAAGCAGCACTTCAAACTTATGATGACGGCAAGCCATCCATACTAAATTACGTCCCAAGGCTTTTTCTAGAAGAGTGCAAGCTCCATTGAGTTTTCCAGTATTGGAAGCTGTCGTGTCAAAGCACATGCCAATAACCATTGATTCACATTGATTGATTTTATCTGTTCATGAACTGCATCAGCAGCTGCTCGTCCTAATCCAGATGCTAACCTTGGAACTCCAAGAAGTTTTGTAGTGCCATCGACAAGTGATAAGAGCAGGACAGGCAACCGATCTACGTTGACTACACCAGTAACATGGCGAGTTGACTGGTTAAAAATATACATTTTTTGCATTCTCTAATAAAGATTATCATTCTACAGGTAATTGTTAATAATATTTTAAACTATAATTAATGTCTGCAGTGAGATAATTAAACTAGTTTGCATTTCTAGCTTTATTTCACTCATTTTGTGCATATTGTTTAAGATTATTGATATGGATTTTGAATTAACTCGATAGTAAAATTTTAAAAGCCCTTGGGGGACCTCTCAAACTTGTTCAAATGAGCTGTAACTTCACCAATTTAATTATTGTACCCAAGAGACACTTTTCAGAGGGTGAGACATCAACTAATTAACAAAAAAAATTTCCGTGCATTTCTGGGACACCCTAATATATATATATATATATATATATATATATATATATATATATATATATATATATATATATATATATATATATATATATATATATATATATATATATATATATATATATATATATATATATATATATATATATATATAACAAAGACAATAATAATAGCAACAACAACAACTACTACATACAGACGAACAACATCAATCTCAAACTATTGATAACAAAAGTAATAAAAGCAACACATAAATAAAATCACTCAACATTACATCAATAAAATTTGTGGCAACAACACAAAACAACAACCATAAATCAAGACAACACATACACTGTACTACTACACCACACACACACACAATCGTCATTAACCGAAATATTTTTTTACGAAGATTAATACACGCGTGAATATGCTATAAACCACATAAACATCACATAAATATCACATAAACATAAAAAATCAACAACAAAAACAAAGACAAAAACATAAACCTGATCAACAACAATATACATGTATTACATTAACAACAACAACAAAAACATAAAAACAAATATAAACAACAACAGCATGAAAACATAAAATACAACAACAATATATACAACGTAAAAAACAACAACAATATAAATATTATCATAAAAAACAACACTGACAACAACACCACACCAGCTACAACAACAGTATAAATAACAAAATAAACAATAAAAACAACTACACAACAACGAAAAAAACATCATTATTTATCATTACTACTTAAATTATTCTCACTAATGACTACTGCTCATCTTGTTTTTTTATGTCACGTCAGTGTCACGTGGTCTATCTCATTGTTATTATCATTATCATTATCATTATCATTATTATTATTATTATTATTATTATTTATTATTATTATTAGTGTTGTTGTTCTTGCTGTTGTTGTTGTTGTTGTTATTTTTGTTGTTGTTGTTGTTTTCCTCTGCCACTTTTGCTGGTATTTACCGGGAGTCTACCGGATTTCTGAGGTGTAGGATTTTAGTTTCTCGTTGTTAGAAACTTTCGAAGTATGTGGGCAATACCAGGTAGAGCTATCTTCTGCGCTTGTGCAACACTCTCCTCTCCAGGCCGTTCATCTTCATCGAGATATTTCTGCAGCCCCTGACGTACAACTCTTCCCAATTGGGATCAGGCGTGAAATCCCAATCTCAAGGTATTTTACATTTGGTTAGTTTTTCAACTTCCTTTGTTGCAACATTAGTGTGGCATTTTGGACAGCAGCATCGATAGGGAGGCATTTTTTGTTTTTGTTACTTTCTTCGTGGTGTATGATAACTGGCCGGTTTGCCCCAATATTATTATTATTGTTGTTGTTGTTGTGGTTGTTGTTGTCGATGTTGCTGCTGTCATTAAGGCTTCGTTGCTGTAATCATTGTCATTACGAGTTTCATAGCAACAA